CGGCAGCGTAGCCGGCCTTTTTACTCCTTAGTACTAACGGGATTTTGGGAGACTTCTATTCCGTACGGCTAATAAAGCATACTATACTATATATATATGCTTAGAGAGTATTCAGAGCGCGGTATGCAGCGCCGTATAACAGCGGCTTATTTCGTATATAGAAAAGCTTGTAGACGATACTACGAACATCCTTCCTACTAGTATATCTATCCTATCTAGTACTATCTCGAATATAGACATTCTAGCCTTTTAGAATCTAATCGAGTGCTTTGAAATCCTTGTCTATAATCGTTATACGCTTCGCGTAGATAGCTATAAGGTTGACCGCTAAAATAGTATTAGTATAGTCCGAAAAGAGGTAGAAGAGAAATATACATTCGAAGATACGAACTAGGTAGGCTTCTATAGCCTCTTAAAGGGCGCCTATCGCGGAGGCTTAGAAGCGAAGGTCTATTCTATAATCCTAGGCAATTTCGCGAATAAGTCGTTAGAAAGGAGTTTTGCGGATTAGGAGCTTAGAACTCTTCTAATACTGCCGAATCTTACGGAGGGCTACGGCTAAAGAAGGATTAGTAAAAAGACAGTAAGAATGCCGGCTACGCTGCCGGCTACGCTACCGGCTACGCTGCCGGCTACAAATAGGACTTACTTCCTAGGCGCTATCGACGCTTCGCACGATTGCTACTAGTAGCAGAAGCGCTAGTTGTCGTCTTGCGTAGAGCCTTACCCGCCGTTGTCTTACGCGGAGCCTTGCCCGCCGTTGTCTTACGCGGAGCCTTGCTCGCGACGCCCTTTCTAGCACCGGAGCTAGCGGTAGCAGTAGCAGCTATCTTGCGTTGATGTACTATACTCGTTCTATTATTTCCGATCTTATTACGACCCGTAGAAGCACTAGGTCCCTTCTTGCGAGGCGTCGTAACTTAGTTAAGTAGACTCGCTATTATAAAAGTCGTCGAATTGAGGAAAAAAGTGCGTTACGAAGGTATACGAAGGCGCGCGCGGAGCGAGGGTATTACGGAGGTAGTAGATATAGAGCGTAGAGGTATAGGTATCGATGCGAAGGTTGAATATAGCGGTAGTGTCGCGGTATCGCTAGGTAATAGAGTAAGCTTCGCGCAAGCCTATATTATAGTAACGTTAGAGCAAGGAAAGAAGGCAGGCACGGCTAAAAAAGGCAGGCACGGCTAAAAAAGGCAGGTACGGCAGACTTTGAAATATAGCCGGCATATATAGCCGGTATAGTAATAGGCGAAAGCCTCCTTTTAATGAATAGCCGGCGTAATAATAGTATCCTACTATAGTATAGATATTCTTTAGTAATGCCTTTACTAGCTATAGTAATCTTATAAGTAACCTAGGCCTATTGCTAGTAAATATAAGAAATATTAGGTAGGCTATACTAAACAAGCTAGTCATTTAGCAGGAAAAGGCCTACTACCGTCTCTATATGCCGGCTACGAGTGCCGGCTACGAGTGCCGGCTATCGCTCTAAATTCAACTCCGCCCTATCTCGGAGGCTAAGGTACCGAGCGGAAACCCTACAGCTTATATTCACTCGGTTATCGCGGAGCGCTTACAGGTGAGGTATTAGAAAAGAGTATAAAAAGTACGAGAAGAGTATCCTAGGATATAGGTCGTAAGTGAATAAGAGTAGCACGCCTAGTTATTTATATAGTACGTTACTCTATACGACTAAGAGCCTATATTATCTCGTACTTCGCTTATAAGACCTCGACTCTACTAATATACTGTTATTCTCCTGCTCGGTCGCTGTCTTAAATCTTCTTCGAGTTGCCGGACTTAGTGCGCATCTATAGCTATGCAATAGCGCTACGTATTATAGAGAATCAACTCCGCCGTATCTCGAAGGCTAAGGTACCGAGCGGAAATCCTATAGCTTATATTCACTCGGTTATCGCGGAGCGATTACAGGTAAGGTATTAGAAAAGAGTATAAAAAGTACGACAAGAGCATCCTAGGATATAGGTCGTAAGTGAATAAGAGTAGTACGCCTAGTTATTTATATAGTACGTTACTCTATACGACTAAGAGCCTATATTATCTTGTGCTTCGCTTGTAAGACCTCGACTCTACTAGTATACTATCGATCTCCTCCTCGGTCGCTAATACGCTGTCTTAATTCTTCTTCGAGTTGCCGGACTTAGTACGTATCTATAGCTATACAATAGCGCTACGTATTATAGAGAATTTCTCGTTGAAGTTTCTCTCTCGTAGGCTTGCTATCTGCCTCGTAATACAGAGGATCAAAGTGCTAATACTAAAGAATCTCCTTATAGTTAGGATACTAGGGCTCCTTAGGACCTTTGTGTTTTAGGTCTAAATAGAGACGTATTATAAACGTTCTATCGCCCTTTCGCTTACTACCCGCTAGGTCGCGATATGCGAAGAAACTAATCTAAATGTAGCTCGTCTCTATAAGAGCCGGGTGAATATAGAGCGCTAGGTTTCTACTTCGTACCTTAGATTTAGGGACGGCGCGGAGATAAAATCAGAAATATAGCCGGTACCTATAGCCGGCAAAAGGATGCGAAAATAGGCCTCCTCCTAGGTTAATCTAACGACTAAATACAATTTCCAACTAATCCGCTATAAACCGACGCCGAATTTTAGCTAGAAGCTATATATCTTTATTTTGAAGAGTAACCCGCTTCGTATAGATAGCAAGGAGGTTTGAAAGCTCAAGCTCGGTTACGAGAAATGCCTCCGTAGCTTCCTAAAGAGCACTAATCGCCTTAGCCGTAAATCGTATACTAGACCGAAAATCTAATGTAATTTCTCGGACGAGTCGCTAGAAGGGAGTCTTAGGGATTAAAAGCTCGGTCCCTCTTTTGTTTTAGAAAAGCCGGATCTAGCGAAGGGTAATAGTACCTAGTTTGAAGCGCCGCTTCTTTGTCGTCGAGTCCTGCCTTATTCCCTTTCTTTTAATAGAAAGATAACTTTTCTTCGCGATAGTCTTCGTCCGCCTACTCTTTTTAGCCTTCTCCTATCTACCTATAGCCTTCTTGTTTTTCGGTACTGTTTTCCGAGGAACCCCCTTCCTTCGTATATACTACGGAGAGCCTTGCTCTTCCGATATCTCGTTCTCGCTACGGTCTCCCTATGCTTAGCTTGCTTTACCCTTGCCCTTTAGCCTCTAAAGATATTTATCTACGCGTTTAGGCGACGAGGGTATATCGGTAGGACCTAGAAAATTAATAAGTATATAATCGTAAGGAGACATTAATGCTTCTTACCTTCTAGAACAAATAGTCTTCCATCAAACCGCCTTATTAGGTTATCGTTAGATTCGAATAAAGGATAGTAGCTTAAGGAAGGGGAGGTAGCCGGCTTAGGAAGGCCCGAAGAGCCGAATCCTTAAGGCATATTTGTCTTTAAGAATATAGGGAAAGGGAAGAAGGAGAGGAAGAGCGAACAGAGAATTAGAAATAGTCCGTAGGTAAGCGGGGTCGGTTGCTATAGCAACTAGTCTGTTTGGGTCCTAGGAATTCGAAACACATTTCGGACATATGCCGGCTATATACGCCGGCTATATTACCTTATACGTAAACGCTTCGTCTCCTTAAAGCTGCTCTAAGCCTATATACGTTTCCGCTTCTCGACCCGGTATCGCCTTCTACCTCCGCCCTTCTCCTCTTCGTTATCGCTAATTAGGGTTTCGCTTAGACTAAATTTCGCATTCTCTTCGCGCTCCTAGGTTTCTTCGATCTTAAGGTTTTCTAATTCCTCGATCAACTCCTTTAGTATAATCTTTAGTAACCTACCTTAGCGATTCTAGTAGAGGAGATAGTATCGGAATACTATAATAGATTCGAAGGTAGTAGGCGAGTATATTCGATTAAAGCGGCCCTAGTAACGAGCGATACTAAAAGACCTCTTATAGCCTATACCTACGCTCGGGATAGCGAGGACGTCCCGAGCGACCGACGCTATCGTTAGAAACTTAGGCTCTAACCGCTACTATATAGCGAGAATATCGTCTCCGAATTCGTCTAGAAGACCGGTAAGATCTAGAGATTATTAGCCCTCTTTCCGAGCCTACGGGTTTGTACTTACTCGCGCGCCGATAGAGATCGAACTCTTCTTTATTCACTTTAGTAGTTGCTTCCTCTTCTGCCTCTACTTCCTACCTACGAAATAGGTATAATGTCGGAGCCTTCTAAACCTTCTTTTTCTTTGTAGGAGCTGCATTTAGACTAGTTTCTTTCCGACGCTCGTAGAACATCTTTTCTAGAATAGTCTAGTAATGCTTCGGCTATACCTCGTCCGCCTTCTATTCCGGCCTCTGCTAGTATATATCCTTTTCTACCGGGTTGAGCAAGTACGCAACGCTATAGATATCCCCGAACGAGTTAAAGGTAGTACTGTAATATTTATGCAACTTAGCATAGGAGGTGTCTATAGCTTTCGTTATAGCTACTTTCTAGGGAACGCTCTTCCTAGCTAGCTTAGCTACGGTTTCCTCGAGCTCGTTAAAGAGCTAGTTATAGTACGTAAAGACAAGGTAGATCGTCGGTCCTCGGGTTCTTCCAATCGTAGTAGTAACCTTCGCGTAATGCTTACTAATATCGACGAGATACTCTACTTAGCGCTATTCGGCGGCGGTAAGGCCGAGCTACTTAATACCCTCGGAACTCTAATAGATCTCGAGAGCGGTACGTAAAGTACATCCCCTCGTAACTATATAGAAAGTCGAATCGAACCGGGTCTTAACGTCTTAGGTAAAACGGAGTAGGCGCTAAGGAGGCCGCTTTTGCTATCGCTTATTCTATGCGATATTCTAGGCATCGGTTTTAGGGCGCTCGATTAGGTTCTTTTAAATAGCCTCGAATCGGTTACATCTCTATAAGCTCGAGTTCGTATATATTGCTAGACGACGAAGCTAGAGAAAAAGAGTTAGAACTATACTAGGTTGCCGGCTACAGGTACCGGCTACGGACAAAAGTTATACCTTATACAAAACGAGAGCGAGGCTCTCTGCCTTATCCCGTCTCATTGCTGCAATGAGTTTCTCGACTTTCGACTTTACTTTATCCTTATCTAGGATCTTCTATTAGTCGTCGTTTAATAGTGCAATTTTAAGCGTCTTAAAGAGGGCTCGGATCGCGATTTAAACTATATAAGCGAGGTAGGGAAACTTCTATAGGGATGCAACTAGTAACGACGTCGGCTCCGATTCAATAGGGCTAGGGCTATTAATAGGCTCCTCTTTATCGTTATTATCGTACGTATTGTCGTACGTATCCGGAATCGTAGCGAGCTTAACATTCGGAAGATTAAGCTAGATTATAGACCTTGTAATCTCCTCTACGCACTCGACCCTATCGATACAATTAGTGATTTCAAAGACATATACGAGTGAATTGTATATACAACGCCTTATATAATGTTCGATTATTACTAGCGTTGTCCGTAGTAATCGAGATTAGTTTCGTTGTTACGCTAACCCTATCTATTGCCGCATAGACAAGCTTCGCTATATCCTTACTAGTATAGGAACCTAGAATTTTAGGGAATCCGATTATAAGTTCCTAGAGTTTCTAATCCGAATTGATAAAGTATAGTATAATCGAGAGGAAGGAGGCTCTTATAGTCCGGCTTAACTAGCTATCGATAGCAATAGCTACTCGGCGAGTATTACGGAGGATCTCCCGAATGTCGTCTAACGCAGCCTCTTTGTTCTTTTCGAATATAATACGCTAGGTTATCGCGCCGAGAAATAGGGGAGGGTAGTTTATAAGATATAGGTATGTCTTCTATATAGACTCCCTTTCGTAGAAGTCTTCCGGAAGACCGTTTATAGCTAGCATTTCGTTTACTAGTTGCTTGAAGTCTTCGGGGGAGAAATCGGTAGCCTTCAATCCTAGAGCTTCCTTAAGCGTAGCCTATAATAATTAGCTAGATCTCTACGGTTAATTTAGGTAGCCGGAATCTGTAGCCGGTAGCTATAGCCGGTAGCTATAGCCGGCATTTTAGAAGACATACCTCTTTCTAGAACGCTATATCTATATCAACTCTCCTCTCTCCTTAAGATTCCCGATACCGTTTAGAATAGAGATAGTTCGTAGGCGATGAGTTCCTATCCCCTAGTTTCGGGTATTTCAAGATTGAACCGTAGAAGTTGCAGACAATTACTAGTTAACCTTTGAGTCGAGAAGTCGTATAACGGTACAATACCCCCTCTATAAAGAACTTCTAGAATGTGTCCGTTCGCTCCTTACTCCCCTATCGTATCGAGTACTTCCGGAGTTTACACTCCTTCGAACGTAAGTATAAAGGGAACTATATCTTATAGACCTATTGATTGAACTGCTCTATATACTCGGGTTTCTAAAGATACGCCTAGCTAGCCTTTTCGAAGATTTCCGGGTTAATACTCGATATTCTTATATCTCCGAACAACCTTCTACTTAGACTCCGTAAAGGTAAGGACTAGGTAGTAGTACCCTATAATAAATTCCTACTACTAGGATTCGGAGAGGATGAATCTAGCCCTAATCGTAGTCTAGGACTCGATAGGCTCGAAGGTGAGTATACGACCTCCTCTCGACGTTGTCGCAATCTCGCTCGTATACTAGACTGTTTCGACTGTCGTCTCGTTGTTACCCTTCCTAGTATAGCGCCTAGTATATATACAATGTCGGTCGGCATGTTTTAAGGTTTCGTACGGTAAGGTAAGGACTTAGGAGTAGTAGATATGTACTAGTAGCTGTAGAGAAATACCCTTTCTTTTATAGCATCGTATCGTTAGGAATAGCTAGGCAGTAAATAGCTAGCCACCTTTTTTTTTTGTTTCCTAGCTACCTAACTACTAGATTTTTTTTCCTAGCTATCCTAGCTAGCCTAACTACTAGAATTTCTTTCCTAGCTACCCTAACTACCTGAATTTTGCCTTCTATACGGCGGCTCTCTCCCACTAACGGAACCGAGCTACTATACCTAACGAATCCAAGCTCGTTTTTAGTCTCAATCTATCCTCTTTCGGTATAAGATACTCGATAAGCAAATGCTTAGGCCGAGTCTAACTACGAAACCTAAGACTAACTAATAGCTCTATTAACCAATCCTGATCCTCGAACTCCTTCCGCTTCTTAGTAAAGACCTTAAAGAGCGCTCGAGCTTCTTCGGGTACCTGCGGAGTAGTCGAGATAAAGCCGTATCGCTAAAATAGGTAATCCTTCGGAGGCTTATATAGAGATTCAGAGAATTCCAACGCCAACCTATCCTACTAGCAGCTTAGATTCCGGATACAAGCCCTCTCTGCCTTAGTAAAGATTTTATATAGCAGTAGCACTCTGCCTTCGAGAAACGCTTTCTGTTTAACTGTTAGTATCTGCCGGCTACGAACGCCGGCTATATATACCGAGTATAGAATAATTACCTGTACCCCTTCCTCCTATAGTAACACTTCTGCCGTCCCTAGATACCTAGCCCCGATCGTATTAATCGCAAGCCACTTTGCCTTTATAGACGCAAAGGCTTCGCTCTAATACTAATAAAGAAACTTCTACTCTATATCGAGGATATAAAGACGACTAGTCTCGATTCCAATCCTTGCTAGCTTTTCGTAGTAGCTTTAACTATGATTTTCTAGATTGATAGGACTTATACCTTAGCCCTTTACTAGTATCTCGTCTCTTTGACTGTGCTCGATCTACTCCTAGCGCTTATCGTCTATAGCGTTAGGCCCTAAGACTGCACCTGTTACTAGATCGACGTATAGTATCTCCTCGCTTTTTTCAGTTCCTTTATTCGTAGTATTAAGCTCTGTCGCGGCATCCTAAACTCTAGCATTGTTGTTCTCGGCTATCTAAACATCTCCGTTACTATCGGTCGTATCGATAGAGGTAGCGACTATAGGTCTGAATGCTATTAGTTAACGTGTTAAAGAAAAATATGCCGGCTATAGCTGCCGGCTACGGCTGCCGGCTACAGCTGCTAGCTACGGCCGCTAGCTAGATTGACTTACGCTACTAGAACTTTACGCTCGAAAACTAGCCGTAATTCTTTCCTCCTCTTAGCCTTCTCTTAGGTTGTCTTCTTATTCTAACCTTCACTTTTTTCTATAGGCGCTAGCTATCGATAGAATGCCTCATTCCGCGCCTTTCTTCTCTTATCCTTAGCTCTTTTATCCTTATCTATCTTGTCCTTTCTCTCGCGGTCTCGTACGGAATTCTTCTTCGTAGAGTACTCCTCTTTAGTCTTGCGCTTTTTAGTTAGACGCTTAGGCAAAACAAACTCGCGGTCTTCAGTTCTATCTTCTATTTAGCGCGCGGCGCGCTTCTCTCTTACTATTATAAGGGAAAGGGGCGGGGGCGCAGCGTATAGTAGTTGTTGTCGGTATAGGTATAAAGGAAGAAGTTGAAAGTGTAAGAATATCGCGAAGCCCTAATTGTTGCCGCCTACGTAACGTTATATAGGTAAGCTTTCGCAACTACGGCAACTACGCCCCGGCAACAGTAACTACGCCCTAGCAACGGCAACTACGCCCTAGCAACGGCAACCACGCCCTAGTAACGGTAATAAAGCGTAGTAAATACAACCTAGTAACTATTATAGCCGGCAATCGTAACCGGCAGTCGAATAAGAGTGTCCTTGTAGCAAAACCACGCCCTAGCAACGGCAACCACGCCCTAGCAACGGCAACTACGCCTAGTAAATGTAACAGAGTTACTATTATAGCCGGCAATCGTAGCCGGCAGTCGAATAAGAGTGTCCTTGTAGTAAAACCAATACAGTCTCTAGTTCAAACCAGGAATCTATATAGTTCGAAAAAACCAAACCGGAACCAGGGAGCTGGTTCGCCGCTAAGAAACCAAACCATATACGTTTGGTGGTTCGGAAACCGAACCACTACGGGGTCTAATCGTATCCTACTTAGTATTCCTCTAATACCGATAAAGAAATTTCTACTCTATATTAAGAATATAAAGACGACTAGCCTTAGTTCTAATTCTTACTAGCTTTTTATAGTAGCTTTAATAATAATTTTCTAGATTTAAAGGACTTATATCTTAGCCCTTTCCTAGTACCTCGTCTCTTTAGCTACACTCGATCTACTCCTAGCGGTTATCGTCTATAGTATTAGACCCTAAGACTATACCTATTACTAGATCGATATATAGTATCTCCTTTTTTAGTCCCTTTATTCGTAGTATTAAGCACTTTCGCGGCATTCTAAACTATAGTATTATTGTTCTCGGTAATCTAAATATCTCCGTTATTATCGATCGTCTCGATAGAGATAGCGGCAATAGGGCTAAATAATATTAGCTAATGCTTTTAAGAAAGAAATACTAGCTATAGCTACTAGCTATATTACCTTACGCTTATAGAAAGTTACGCTCGAAAACTAGACGTAATCCCTTCTTTCTCTAAGCCTTCTCTTAGATTGTCTTCCAGTTCTAACCTTTACTTTTTTCTATAGGCGCTAGCTATCGATAGAAGGCTTTATTTTACGCCTTTCTTCTTTTATCCTTCGATTTTTTATTATTATATATTTTCTCCTTTCTCTCGCGGTCTCGTACGGAATTCTTCTTCGTATAGTACTCCTCTTTAGTTTTACGCTTTTTTCTTAGATACTTAGGTAAAATAAAGTCGCGGTCTTTACTTATATCTTCTATTTAGCGCGTAGCGCGCTTCTCTCTTACTATTTTAAGAAGAGAAGAGGGGGGCGTAGCGTATAGTAGCTATTATAGGTATAGATATAGAGAAAGAAGAAGTTAAAAGGTATAAGAATCTCGCGAAGCCCTAATTGTTACCGCCTACGTAAACTTATATAGGTAAGCATTTATAACTACGGTAACTATACCCTAGTAACGGTAACTACGCTCCGGTAACGGCAACTACGACCTAGTAATAGGGATAGCTATTATTAAGGCAACCCCGAGCGGAGTAAATATAACGTAGTTACTATTATAGCTAGCAATAGTAGCCGGTAGTCGAATAGTAGACTTATATAAAAACTATTATAGTCTCTAGCTACTACGGCCTAGTAATAGTAGTAGCTATTATTAGGGCAACCGCGAGCGTTATAGATATAACCTAGTTACAACTATAGCTAGTAATCGTCGCCGGTATTTAAATAAGAGTATACTTATAATAAAATTAATATAGTCTCTAGTTTTAACTAGGAATCTATACAGTTTAAAAAAGTAAAACGGAACTAGGGAGCTAGCTTGCCGCTAAGAAACTAAACTATATACGTTTTATAGTTCGTAAACTAAACTACTACGAGGTCTACTAGCGATAGTAATACCGTTTATATAGCCGCTATTAATAACGATACTAATACCTATACTTAAGGTTTTATAAATTCGAGAATTAGTTCCCTTACTAATACTCCTACGAGTAGGCTCTAAGGTATAAAAGGACTAGTCCGAGATAGTAAAAGAAATATTATTCTAGTCTAACGGGTTCTACTAGGTTGCTTTAATAACAATTAGATCTATTTACTAGTTCTAGATCTCTAGACTCCGGTATTACGTACTCTATAGAAGTAGGAGCCTTACTTGTAGGAACCTAACTAAATATAGCTAATTATCTGAAGCTTATAAATACTATATCGTACTTTCCTCTATCCTTATTAGTACTAAGGTCCTTAATTAACCTACGAACGGACTTAGTAAAGCTAAGCGGTAGTAGCCTCCCCCGGATAGACAAAGTAGAACTATAAAAGATCTCGGCCTCGTATAATCTTAAGAGCTATAGTATAGCGCTCTTAGAGCTAGATTGTATTCTATCTCGAAGTACGAGAACTCTATTCAATTCCTAGCTATTCTCGCTATATCTAAGAGCTATATAGCTATAAACTCGGTATAGTAATCGATACTAACCTTCGTAAACTTATAAATAAGGAGCTAATACTAGCGGATAATAGTTTCGGTAGAAAGAAATTAGTTAGCCGCGCTAGGCTTAAGAGAGGAGCTTAAAACTAATCTATTAATAGGTCTAAGGGCGGTAGATACTAATATAGTCTTCCCTATACGCGATTAGCCCTACTTTGTTAGTAAAGAAATAAGGAGGGAAACCTACGCGGTTGTTCTCTTATCGTAGGTGTGTAGAGACTCTCTAGTGTAATAGGTACCTATTAATCGTAAAATAGTCGCGAGCTATATAGTAAAGAGGAAATTATTAATAAGGCGGATAGAGGATCGAATAGGTTTACGAAAGTATATTCTACTACTAAATAATACGACGGCTTAGAGGAGATAACCGATAAGTAACATATACGCTATAGCCGTACTTTATATACAAATATAGGCTACTTTATATATAAACATAACCCTAAGCCGTATACTATATACAAATATAGGCTATCTTTTTATAGTATTAGCGAAGTCTAAGTAGTATAAGAGCGGTATAATAGAATAGACTATTATAGCGATTACGGTTCTAAAGGATAATACCTAAGTTATCTCTTTAGTAGTTCTAATACCCTAAAGGTCTTACGTTATTTAAGAGTCGAGCTATTACTGTTAGAATATTAAACAAACTCTAATATCGATAGAATAGAAATCGGACTTATAGTATCGTATATTTATAATTTCTCTCGCCTAATACTTAAGCTCCGAAGATAAGAATTAAAACGTAGGAGTCTATAATTAGTAGTATTAGCTATAGTTCCTAGGGACTCGTTATACGCTTTAGAATAAGCCTATTACCTACGAAGAACCTAGTATAGGCAATAATTCCTCTATAACTATCGATAGACTATAGTCGTTTACTTATCCGGCGGTAGTAAGTATCCTAGTAACTTTATATAATAAAAATGTTCCGATATTACTAAGTATCCCGCTATTGCTAGTAGACTTAAGGCTAAGACCTATAAGGCAGGATTAGCTAGTCCTACTTCTAGCTTATCGCGTTTCTAGAAGCCTACTTAAGAAAGATATTCTCTCGTTTTCTAGTAGTATATTTAGGATAAGTATACTCTATTAACTTGTATAGGCTAAGCGATCTATATAAGCCTATTATAGTTGATTACGATGCGGTAGATAACTGTTATATCTCAAGTTAGTAGTTTTTACCGAATTGTAAATATAAGCTAGTCCTAAATTTTTATAGCTAACCGCAGCTATCGCGAAGCAGGAAGGCGGAAGAAGATAATATTCCCTCTTAGCCGGACTATGAGTCTGAAATTAACAAAGGAGCAATGTGCAGGAGGAGACGTTGCAATCCGGACAGCAGAGGGCAAGAGAACGACTCCTTGTTCGCGTAGAGGAAAACGACGGCGATATACACCGGCCACCCTCGGACTTCCCGCTTGAAGTTTGGCAAAAGCGAGACTGAAAGCACGAATCAAACACTCCGAGAGGCGCAGAACCGTGACTATCTTCCGCACGGTTCATGGAAAGGCAGGCCGTCAAATTATACACACGTCCCAGCCCCCCAGCGTCGAGATTTGGCGGCGGCATGTACATGAGCGGTCTAGAACGACACCCACATCTCGGCCGCCCTCTGGACCATTGGCCGGTCCTGAGATGTATGATATGGGTTTATAGGGCACGAGAGCGCTCCCAATCCTCCCTTGGTACACAAGCTTGGTAGCTTGGTTTGCTGAAATCTGGCGCCAACTCCGCAATTCTAACTGCTAGAAAGGGCTGCTTTCCACCAAGGTGTAAGTCACTGATGCTTGTTGCCGCTGTAGCCAAGGAATGGGCTTTGTCCGCGATCACTTACGCAAATTGGCTTTGATGGAGGTATGATAGTACGATCTAAGGAAGTGTGATGTTGCGCTGTAACCGTGTTCCGACTCTAGTCTACGTGAGGCATCAGCGCATTGCATGAGTTCGATACTTCAGGATGTTACATTTACGCTTTTCGCTCTGGCTCATCTTGAAATTTGTCCGAGGAAATTGGTAGCGGCATCAGATGAAATTCTACTCTAGGTAGAGCTCCATGACTCTGGCAGATGAATTATTTGTGATCGCTAAATTTCTTGCTGATCTGGTGTTGACCGTCGCTTCCCCAATTGCTTGTATAAAGATTTTCTTGAACGGCAGATTGCAGCGCTTCTGGCAAGAGACTCCCAATCGCTTTTAATTTGATTAAGTTCCAATTCCCAGCGCAGACTTGTTCGTGGTAGAAAAGCTCCAGGTAAGTCAGGCAGTGGACAAAGCAGTTGAGATCGTCACCTTGGACAAATTTGCCCTACACTCGAGGCATGATAAGATTGCGTAGTCGTAGGCCAACAGGAAGGGAGACCCCGGTAGGTGGCATAAATTATGCTGAAGCTCGACATCGGCGAACTCTATAGTGTAGGATGTCTGTTGAGCTTTGAAGAGGAACCACAGAAAAGCAGCCAAGTCCAGGCGCTTGTGGACCGTGTTTTCTGACATGGTAGTCCTACTTGCGATTACATTCACCCTTGCTTTCGTTGCAAGAACATCCACGCCAATGTAGTGCCGTGCACAGGAGACATGGCCGCTTAGATGGGACCAGGTATCAATCTCCTCCAATCCAATCCCCCAAAAGCTCCAATACGCTTGAGGCGCGTGATGGCATATAAGCTTCGTTGGTAACATTGGCGGCTGCGTTGGGGATGGTGAAATGGTGCTTGACGCCTCTGAGAGTTTGCGTTGCGGTCTTGGTTGTAACGCATGCTTGTTGATCTCGCTTCGCACCTTCCTGGAGCCTTGCAGATGGACAAAAGATGCCCAGAATTGCAAGTCTCCCCTGCCGCGGCAAATGGCTGTAGAATGTCATACCTGGCTGTACAAAGCTGCTTCGAATCCACTGGCAAGAGAGTGCTTCTCGACTCACACCAAGGATTGTCCTGCAGTGATCATTCACGTGTCTCACTTGATGATTATTCCCAGACGTAGGAAGTGCGAGCAGCGCAAGTGTAGCGCGCAGAAGATCGAGCTCTGCCCTTATGTCGTTCGCTACTCTACCCCTCGTTCAGCACGGGAGGGCGGCGCGATCAAGCCTAGGCGTTGATGCTAAGTTGTCCAATTCATGCCATCGACCTGGTGGGCGCCGTCCTGACATCCGGACTCCAGGTGGTCTTTCCTCATGTCGGGTACCTCACTACGCACGTGAGTCCATTAACAACCTCTGTCCAATCATCCGGAACTTTAATGCTCCCTGTCCTTGTTTGGCCAGCGCAGTTCCGTTTCTCGTTCCCTCTCTTTTTCCATTCTTCTTCGCTGGAAAGCAGCCTCTGTCTTTTTTTTTTCACCTTCGTCGCAGGGTAGCGTTGGTGGCAGCTTGAGTGCTCTTGTGGTTGGCGATGAAAATTCCAGTGCCATCGGCTGGCGACCTCGTGTTAATGGGGGCAGTGTGCGGGTGGTCCTGAGTCTTGATCTGCATGCCAATTGCTGCGTTGGTCATGTCGTGGATCGCACCCCCGTCCAAGTGTGCTCTGTCCCTCTCGATGCACCTCAGACACGTCCTCGGGCGACGACCCCACCTCTTGGGAATGGTTCGCAGAACGAGTGGCCCAGGTTCGATCAGCAATCAGCTCGTCCTCGGCAGTCGGGTTGCGAAGCGACGGGAGTGTGGAGGGGCACATTTCGCAAAAGCACACTGGCATAACTCAGGACATCTCAGGTTGACAGTGGCATTTTCTACGCGAAGCCTTGTCGAACTGGTTGCTGGAAGCGGAATCACAGCCACCGGCGCCTTTTTCATGCGCTCGAATGTCGTCCTAAGCCCGCTGGAGTAGACCATGTGCTGTTTGAGCACTCGACGATGTAGTCAAAGTAGCCATGACTTTCTGGAATACCTGTGGCGCCAGCCTTCTGAGCTTTCTCAGTCCTTCATCGAAAGGATCGTTGTTGAGTGATATGCTTGAACTAGGAAGTCGTACATGTAGGCGGAAGAACTTGCAAACACCCAACGGGTTGGGTTGGCTTTAGCATGATCGCAGGTGGCAGGTCGTAGTGCCTCGTGAATCGGCAAACTGTTCTCGTTCTTCAATCAACAATGCCCACCTCGAGTCGTTCTTAATACCCCAGTGAAGCATGACGTGATTCCTTTCGCGTGCGGCCGATGCCCCTTCGCAATGCTCGTCAGTGTCGAGAAGTCTTCGGTGCACACCTCTCGCAGAATTCAGCCCACCAGCCTGAATACCTTCACTCCTCCACCCTTCCTTACCACTGAAGACGGAGAATGCAGTCCACCTGTTTTTCCTCTCGGGAGTCTGCCTCACACTGTTTCGTATTCTCGAATTGGCATTGGCATCCCAACTCACATGCAGACTCCGACTTGTGCCTCGGAAGTGCAGAGGTGGGAGCTGAACCCATCAGCAATGTGGACATGCGCAGTCCCAGGCGGTGAGGTTGGCTCGCCAGCTCAGACGCTGTCCATCTGGCGAAGTATGCTATGATGATGTGTTGCATCTGAGTGCTGTCTTCTATCGTTCGCACTTCGCCAACCTCGTCCTGCACGACTTGGAGTTCTGGCGCTGGGATGCTTGGCTGTCTGACCTGTGTGAAGGCGCGTCGCCGGGCAAAGAGGCCTTTCCGATGCAATGCCCAACACCGCTGGATTAAACGCCAAAGAAGCTTGATCTGAGTAAATGGACGGATCTGAGCAGGCTTGGGTGACGATGACGACCGGTTCTGTTTGGGAGCTTACTACCCTCCAAAGCCTTTGGCGTAGGATCATCTTCTCCGGCCATCTCCCGTGCAGCCGGCTTAGGAAGGTAAAGTGCATCATGAGATGCTTGTGGATCTAGCCAAGCATTTCGTTTCTGTGGATTGGCTTTGCCCCAGCTCGTGGCCGGATGGGTGGCGGGATAGGTAGCGAAGTCGCTGCGGCGGCCAAAGCAGACGGCCGCGGACCACGGACTGCCTGATTCCCTGTACTCGTACCAACAGCACGAGTTCGAGCTGCATGCGCAGTTGCTTGAGGGCCGTCAGTGAAGTCAATGCCGCTTTCGGCGAGCAATTCATGCGCTGTATTTTGGTCGCAGCCGCCTGAGCTGTGATGATTGGATGATCGGTGATAATTGGACGGTCGATGATCTTTGGTTGTGTTGTCGTAGTAGTGTCGACGCGAATGTTTGAAGGCATGAGAGGTACAGGGACAGTGGAGGTCCTACGGATGAAAACTGAAGAGGACGCATTTGGCTTGTGCCCGGTGTTGGTCCATGGTCAGTGCCAGCGAAATGAGTGTTGTGAAAGGAAAGCGTGTCAAAGAAATCCTCGTTTTGCAAGGCAGCTGTTGCGCCATTGGCTTGTCCACTGCCCTGCTCTGTATCAGGGAACTCATCGCCGTCGCTGTCTCCGGCCCCAGACGACCGACCTCTGTCGTCTTCTCTGCTGGCAGACAGCTCGTCGCCATCACCTTCTCCGCCGGCGCACAACTCGTTGCCATTATCATCCTCTACCAGCACACAGCTCGTCGTCATTGTGTTCCCCTGCCATTGAAAGGTACGTCGTCATTGTTACGTTGTGTTGCGGCATATGAAATCTTTTCTGCCAGCTCGTTGTGCGCCGTCTTTGATGAGGTTGCCGGTCTTCTCCTTCTGCTGCTGCGCTGTGCCTGTGACTACGACACTGCATTTCTTTCCTCCACATTCCATCCACGACTCAGGCTAGCGCTCTTTTAGCCCAGTTCTGTGATGAGGCACCTCTTCAGACAGTGGGTCGGTGGTTTTACCGTCTCGTCGGCGTGTTGCGCTCACGGCAGGCGCATCGCGCATCCTTTCGAGTGTGCCAAATGTCCCACCTGATTCTTCCTAGCCATCTCGCTTGGGTATGCACCATGGACATTGTCATTCGAGTCGCGGGCGGGTCGGTGGGAGAAGGCGGCGCGTGCAAGCTACATGCATTGTTAGTAGAGACACACAATCCCATACCGATTCCTCACATTTTGCTTCCTTGGATGGGTAGTCGTAAGGCCAGTCGACAGTGTTTCCGCCTTTCCGCTTGCTCGAGATGCTGGATGCGCGGCGCTTGGTGCGCTGGACTCTGGCGGATCCGGACTCGTGTCACGATCGGCTTCCACAGTGGCGGAATGTTCAGAGGAGACCAAGCAGGAAAGGTGGTGGGAATTGGATGGTATGGGAGGCTTTTCCGGAACTTCCGGTTTTCGCCATTACCAGGGCATAGTTGGAGCAGAAGCTGTATTTGATCTTTGTTATCCTGCCAATGCCCAACTTGTGGACGTCGGCTGGGCTCGATGCGTCATTGATCCTCGAGGGTTGAAGCCAGACCTCGCAGATCCGAAGAGACAGACTGGATTCCTGACAAGCTGTCACTGTTACAAGTCTACGGAGGATGCGCATTGCAAACGAAGGGGTTGTGGAATTGGCGACGATGCGGCCTCTTACCAAAGCGGGGCACCTCCGACGCTGTGAAAAAGCAGCCTCTCGGCAAAGCGCGGCAACTCTGACGCCGCGAAAAAGCAGCCTCTTGGCAAACCGGGGCAGCTGACGCCGCGAAAAAGCAGCCTCTCGGCAAAGCGCGGCAACTCTGACGCCGCGAAAAAGCAGCCTCTTGGCAAACCGGGGCAACTCCGACGCCGCGAAAAAGCAGCCTCTTGGCAAACCGCGGCAGCTCTGACGCCGCGAAAACGCAGCCTCTTGGCAAAAATGTTTATCCTTTGGCTTTACCTTCTCGACCGCCCAGGAGACAGACCGCGCGTTCGACCTCCAAGCAAACAGTACAAAGCCAACACCCAGCAGGCAGCGCGAAGCCAAGACCAGCGTGAAGCGCGAAGCTGCTATCGTAATGGCTACGAAACACGATTGATTACAGCTGACCATCATCGCTTCCCACCCAAGCATCGCTTCTCCCTGCTGCTGCGACTCACATCCGCGCCGAGCGAATCGATATGCGCATCTCAAAACACCGTCCAGATGGACGCCACTTCAATGTCGGCAGTGTTAGGCTCGTATGCGAGGAGGCGGAAAAGGAGGACAACCAACTGAAGAAGCAAGGGGAACGGGAACGGAGGCATTGGTGATAATGGGTGTCAAAGCTGGAATCTACTATGCTTGCGCCAACGGAATTCGTTGTTGACATTATGCACGGGGTCGTAGCACCATTCCTTCGAATGGGACATGACCGTGTTCTCGACTTTGGCGCCATAGAACCCCCGCTGTAGTAATGCCAGCCTGGCCTTCATGAGTACACAGATACCTTCATTTGTTCCCAGCAAGAGCGCTGGTGTTATACCGTGTAAAAAATCGCTCCACAAGCCATCAGAGGAGATGTCATACAAAGCATAGACGCGGCATCACGACCCAACGGGCTCTGCCTTTCGCGCCTTTATGACTCTTCTATTTCGTTCTCCTCCATCCCCACAAGCACACACCTGACGAAACGTCAAGTTGTGCGTGCAGTTGTGCGATCGTCCCAGCCTGCAAAATCCTTTAAGCACACATTTGGCGGGATAGTTCCGGTACGCAGTGCGCTCGAAGTTCGGCAATGGGGTCAACAGACGCAGCACTCTACAATTCATCGACCGACACACTATCACCCCGATCAAACCTCAAGGAAGCAGCAGCTATCGGTTCCAAGCTCATCATCTGCTCCTCTGCGGCCTTCTTTCCCTCCCGGGCTTCCTTCTTCGCGCTGACTTGAATCCAGCTGCGTACGCTGTACACTTCGTTCTCGATTTCTCAAAGCCCAAGCAACTGGAAACGAATTGGCAGAGGCCGCTGGTGCCTTGGATGATCCCGACGAGCGCCGCCTTCCACAGCACAGGCATTACAAAACACGGTCAAGAGCACAGCGGGTAAGGGCAACAGCAAAGGACGGACAGGAGCGGGACAAAGGTGCCAAATGTTGACCATGGCTGAGAATTGGTGACAACGCATACTGGATACCATCTCACAAGAAGAGAAACACCCCTCGCAAAAGTCTTAGCGCAAAGCCTCAGCAGGTGTCGCTGTAGCAGAAGCTCCGGGGCACCAGCGAGTCAGTGCGGCCGGCGCTAGCTATGGGTGGAGAGAATATGACTTCGTGGTTTCGAACAGAGAAAGTACGGTAGGCAGGAAAGAGACGGGATCGGGCACATCGATCGTAGGCTCAACCCAATCATTTTCTCGTGGCTGACAGGAGGCAGAGCCATGAAAGAGGATTCGCCGTCACCATAGCAGCAGCAACGCGCATTCAGCATTCAGCTGTATGGCTTCGAGCAACGATACTGCCTCTGATTCATCAAGAGTTTCTACCCCGCTGGCGTACGAGTTTTTAGCACTTACATTCTCATATATGAGAATCCATGTTCACCATTTCATCATTTATGGAGACACCGACTACAACGAGTCGCGACTGTTATACCCGAAATTGAAGCTTTGGGGGCAAGGAAAGTTGCATGAATGCGCTGACCAAGAAATTTGGAGTCGGAAACCAGCTGCCGTGACTTTCAACCCTCGCAATGGCGATACGCAGATTGAAGAACTTGGTGAGGCCAGTGACTCGGCAATGCTCGCGACATGTCGCACGCACGCACAAGAATCGTGAATCTCTATCCTACACTTGGAAAATCCGGCCGTGATTCAGCTTCGACCGCTAAGTTCAATCCCGAGGCCTTCCCAAGCTCAGCACCTTTCCCAACAAGATCCACACAACGACTGTGCCTAGAAGTGTACATTTCACTGGGAAATGCCTGCTCTCCGCGGAGAGCCGAAGCCTTCAAAGCTTACGTCCTCAGCGAGCGTGACGCCGCTTCTATCACCATCTTCTATTGCAAAGACACACGCGAGCGCGAGCAACATAAGCAGAAGCAGGATTTTGCGTGTGCGTACCTCCGACAACCGTGGCGAGTGCTTCTCGACATTCTTCCCCCTCGGCGGCCAGAAGCACCAACACTTTACATGTCGCGGTACGACTGCAGCACGAGGAGAAGGAATATTATAGGAGCTGGGGAAATTGATGAATGTGTTCACCGTAGAGATGAGATGTAATGTCCGGAAGCTCTTTAGGATGGGTATGGGGTTGGTCACGGAGGTGATGGGAGCGCGCATAGGTCGCCCTCAAACCTCGCGAGGCTCGGGCGCTGCTCTTCGGCGAATCGCTTGTCAAGTGGCAGTGCTACCGTACACCGAAGCAGGTTTGAGGACATCGAGGTTGTGGCTAGGCAGCAGAGACTTAAATTGTCTTACTAAGAACTTCGTTAGTAGAGCGAGTTAGCGTAAAAGCTAAGACAATAAGGGTAGAGGGATCTTCTACCGATTTGAATTTTCGTTATCCTAGCCCGAGCGGGTTAAAGCTTATAAAGTATAATAGTATTACCGATATTTATAGAATATAGATAAGTCTTCGAAGTTATATTTTAATTATAATTAGAAAACACAATAAAATAATATAAAGTAGGGAGTAGCGCTTCTTATACTTTAGGATCTATTTCGAGATAGTATAGGTAGTTCGATAAGTAGTATAGTAGAATTGCTCTTTTTAAGGCGTAATAAGGTCTTCTCGTACGTTAGAAGGGCTATTATCGTTATAGTAAGGTCGGCCGGTAAGTCTTATTATATTCCTCCTTAGCGGAAATAATATATAATTCGCTAGTCTTTAGAGGGGAAGTAGAATTAATAGAGGCTTCCTACTTACCGAGAAAAACTCGAGTTAATTCTATAGTAGTATTTATAGTAGCTATACGAGACGAGAGCCTTTCTTATTCCTATAGGCTAGTAAGTCTTATAAATTTAACCTACTTAATACCTAGTCTAAGAGCCTTGCCCTATTATAGTACTAGATAGGCTTATAGATCGAGGAATCTACTTTTCTACTACTTACGTCTTCTATAGCTCCTACGTACTTAAGACTATAATTGTTCTCTACTACCGCTAATAATATTATAGCGCTCTAGTATTAAATCGACTATAGGAAGGCCGCGGATAGCTAGGAGAAAGGTATAAGCTTAGCTACCGACTTAGAGATTAAATTAGAGAGTAACGAGTTATATCGGTACTAGATTGTCGCTAGTCCTTATACCTAGCGTTTTATACTCGTCTCTTACGATACTAATATAGCGTTACCTCTATCCGCGGCGCGCCTTCTAAGGTAATACTATAAGACTTCTAAGACTCTACGTAGACTCTCGTTCTACTATTCTTGTTATACTATTCTTAATATAGATTCGTTTATTGCCTCTACTCGTAGTACTTAAAAATCTAGTAAAGTCTCGAAAGACTAGAAACTATACTAGTCTATATAACTAGTACTAGGCGTAGCTAAATATTAGTAGCTCTAACTATACGTCGTAGTCTAGACCTAGCTCCTAGCGTAAAGCGGCGAAGAGATACTCTACTCTAATTAGTTAAGTATTATAACAAACTCTAGATACTACCTTTATATATAAGGTCGGGATAAAATTATATAGGATTCTTTTTACGAGGCATTTCCGTAGAGTATACTTCTACGCTTCGAAAGCGATCTATAAGCGCCTAGTAATAATAACCGAGGACGATATTAGAAGCAATTCCTTCTTCTACGTTATTTCTAAAAGCTTCGTCTACTTTAAAGAAGCCGAGAATAGATATTAATTCTTCTAGTTTTAGATTCAGAGTCTAAAAGATAGGTTTCCGGCAAGGTATTTATATTCGAAAGATAGATTGTAGGAGTATAGATATATAATAGTTACCTCGAAACTAGATAAATCTACTAAGCTTTACTATATACTATTTCTTTTATCTCCGCCTCTTTGAATTAGGTTCGTATTAGATAGGGCGTCCCTTATAGTCTAGTATTAATCGATATCGCTAATCGCGTATCTAGGAGTAAGGTCGGTTACTTGTTTCTACCTATCTATATATCGTCTACCTATAGATCCTAACGGCTATCGAAGTCGCGGGACTTTTTAGCCCTATTTATTATAGAAATTTAGTAGGAATTTAGTATTTATAGCTAGTTACTATAGTAAAGTATGTTTGCTATCTTAAATTATACTTGTCTCGTTCTAGACTATACTCGATTCGTTCGATATCTTATATTAGAATACTCGAGAATATACGAGGCTAGTTAGATTTATAAGTAAAAGAAGGAGAAGGAAGCTAAAAGGATACTAGAAGATTATTTACTTAGGGCTTATAATCCTAAGCGCCTTACCTATAATAGTTATAAGTCTAGAACGTAAGTAAAGAAACGAGAAAGTTTAAGGAATTACCTAATTAATAAGTCCAGTTACGTAAGCTTAAGCTTTATCTAACGTTACTCTATAAATAAAAAAAGCGACTGCCTTTTAAGATAATAAGATAACGGTTATTACTCCGCTATAGACGCTAGTCTCTAGAAGAAAAGAACCGACTAATACAAATTAACCGATCTAAAACTATTATTAGTACGACTACTATAAGTCGAGAAATCTAACGATAAAGATATCTACTCCTAAGACAAGTATCGGCGTAGTAAAGAAAATTCTGTAACTTACCGCTAAGAATTATACTATCTAGATTGAGCTAATTTAAGACTATTTATCTAGATAAGGCTTTTAGAAGTATAGGGATAGTATACTAGAATCTATAAGCCGAGATTCGACTAAGGTAATTAAGCTAAAAAAGAAGACGTAAAGGTAGTTACGTTTATTAAGTTAAAAGCCGGGGATAAGCGTATATACCTCCTAGGACTACGGACGACTAAGGAGGTAATTAATAAAATAAAGGAAGTAAGCTAGGTATTAATAAAGAAACGGGTTTCGACGCTACTCTCCCGTTTCTATTCCTTTAAAGCTCTTAAGGATATCGATATTACGGCTTTATCTCTTACGCAAATCTAATCCGAAATAAAGGCCGCGGATAAAGACGAAGTTCCCTCGGAGTCCTCTAAGAAGGTAGTCCTTATATCGTCTTTAGGAGAAGAGTATTCGTCTACTATATTCGCTTTAAAAGCGGCCGGTTTATCTACTCTTTTATACGAGGAACTAGTTTAACGACTACGGGGCGTTAAATATACTATTACTACGTCTAAAGCAATAAAGTAGTAGCCTAGTATACTAAGGATTCGGCGAAAGATAAGGCCGGTAACGGAAAGAGAGGCAATGTACCTAATACGTCTAATAAAGCTTAAGGAAAGACGCATTAATATTACTAAAAGGTTAGGCACTTTAAATAGGACTATAGAAAGTATAAATAAGACCTAAAGAACGGGAAAGTCTAAAAAAAGAAAAGAGGAATTAAAGATCGCGGCTTAGATAGCGATCGATTCTACGACTCGACTATCTAATAAAAGGGATTAGATCCTAGACTCCGGATATACTAGATATATATCTAATAATAAGAACTACTTTCCGGACTAAAAGGAAGAAACCGTAAAAGTTACTCTAGCGAACGGTAAAACGATTAAGGTCGTAGGATCCGCTATAATCCTCGTCTAGTTTAAAGGAATTCCGACTATAATTCCGGACGTTATATACGTACCGGAGATTAGTTATAACCCGCTTTCGATAAGCTAACTCTCGGAAGGAGGAATTGCGACTCTATTTACTAAAAAACAAGCTATACTTCGAAGAGGAAAAGAATAACTAGCTAAAGGAGTACGCGTTAGAAGATTCTATATTCTAAAGGGATCCGTATCTATCGGGACTTCGAGAGTAGCTACTACTACGAGTAAAGGTACTACGCTACTTTAGTATCGACGCCTAGTATATCCGGAAGACGGAAAACAACGTAATATATATAAAGTACTACTAAGAGTCCTAGAGCTTTCGACGTTAAATAAGTCTTACGAGACTTATATTACTATAAATTCTAATAGATAAAAAAGTCGAGAGGAACCCGAGAAGGCAGATTATTACCTAGATAGGGTATATATCGATTCTTAGGGTCTCTATAAGTATAGTACCTTAGGGGGAAATAGGTATATACTAACGGTTATAGACGACGCTACGAGACGGCTAGATATCCGTCTTACTCGCTATAGAAGCGACGTATAGGAAGCCTTTAAGGCTTAGAAAGACGGGGCGGAACTTAAAACCGGGAGGAAACTAAAGGCCGTAAGAATCGCTAACGCTCCGGAGCTTATTAAAGCTCGTAAGGACTATCCGGGACTACGAATCGAAACTATAACGCCCTAAACTTTTAAATAAAACAGGGTAGCGGAAAGACAAGCCTATACTGTTATATCTAAGATATAGGCGGCGTTAGAAGGATCCGGATTATCTAAACGATTTTAAGGCGAAGCGGCCTATATAGTTACCTATTTATATAATAGGTTACCTACTAAAGGAAAAGATATAACTCCCGAGGAGCTCTATACTAGAAGAAATCTAAAAGCCTAGTAGAGAACACTTATAGGTATTTAGCTATCTAGCCTATCTATTTATTCCTAAAAAGAAAAGGAAAGGTAAGCTAGAAAAGACGGTATTTCCGGGAATCTTCGTAAGATATACGGAGTCTACGAAATAGTATAGGATCTATAATCCTAAGACGAACGCTATTAGGATCTATACTAGAGTTAAGTTTAACGAATCGACTAAGGCCTAGGAAGTAGCCTACTACCTAGAGAAGAGCTACCTACCCTACGGCCTACTACGGATAACGACGACGACGGTATCGATCTCCTAGATAAAGGAGAGTCTAAGGAAATAGAGGGAGATAATACCGAAGCCGAAGATAATACTCCGGAACGATAAGAGAAAGAAGATAGTTGAAATAACGATAACGAAAGAACAACTCGAGAACCGCCTCCTACGGCTTCGAATATAAACGAAAGAAGAGTAAGAAAGTCTACGAGGGTCCCTAAGGTACCGAAGAGACTAAGGAACGAGATAGGGCTAGTAGCTCTAAAAGTCGGCTATCGAAAGGCTTTCGAAATATCTATCCCTAAGACCTGTATAGAAGTTACTAGCGGCTATTATACCCGATAGTAGAAAGACGCTATTAAAGAATATATCGAGTCCTTAACGGCTAATAATGCCTACGAGATTGTCGACTATCCTAAGCTAAATAACGGAAAAAGGCAAATAAACGTTAATACTCCGAAATAGGGTTTTAAAGTAAGAATACTACTAAACGTATAAATCGACAAATTTAAGGCGAGATTAGTAGGAAAGGGCTTTACGTAACGCTAGGGAATCGATTACTTTAAGACGTTCTTTATAGTAATACGTCTCGAAAGCCTACGCCTTCTCCTAGCTATTACCGCTAGTAAAGGACTTACTATATTCTAAATAAATAGAGTAAGTGCCTTTCTACTTAGAGAACTAACGGAGGAAGTCTTCCTAGGTGTCTTAGAAGGCCTAGATATTCCCGGAACTAATAAGGTACTTAAACTCTTAAAGGGAGTACTAGTACTAAAACAATCTAGACGAGTTTAGAATAGGACTATTACGGCTTTCTTCGAAGAATACGACCTCTACGCTATACCCGCGGATTAATTAGTCTCCGTTAATAGCGATTATACGATAATAGTCGCGTTATACGTCGACGATCTTATTATACTAGTAAAGATAGAAGCGGAGGTTAAACCGCTAAAGGACGGGCTTATAAAGGGGTTTAAATAAAAAATGTAGGTCCCGCTAACTTTATACTAGGCGTAGTATATACGAATCGAGAGAGAGGCCGACGGGTCTATACTACTAGATTAAAGGTACTATATTAAAAATACGCTTAGAGAAGAGGGCTTAGATCTAGACGGAACCTTCCGAGTATCGACTCCGGCAAACGGATACGCGAATCTACTATCTATTATAAAGGACGAGGAGGTAGTAGATATCCGGGAATAATAACTACTAACCGGGAAACTAAATTATACCGTACGAGCTACTAGGCCGGATATATCTTTTCTAACGTAAAGACTAAGCTAATCCTCGGTAAATCCGGCTAGGAGACATTATAACGGAGGTATCTACGGCCTTAGATACCTAGGAAATACTCGGGACTACTATATAAAGTATAGTCCTATCCCGAAGAACGAAAACGATACGAGTACTTTAGTTACTCGTCTACCGGTTATTTATACCGATTCGGGTTACGCGGAGGACTTAACTAGGAAGTAAACGATAGGATATATATCCCTACTAGCCGGAGGACCTATATCTTAGTCTACTAAGCTATAAAGGTCCGTAACGACTAGTACTATAGAAGCCGAATACTTAGCGCTATCCTTCGCCGTAAAAGACGCTATTTATATCCAGAATTTCCTCGAGCAAGTCGTATACCTTATAGAAGACGACTATAAAGAACCTATACCTGCCTACGGGGATAGTAAGGCGGCTATCGCTTTAGTACGAAATCTAGAATTCTATTCTAGAACGAAATATATCGACGTAGTAGTATACTACGTATAGGAACTCGTCGTAGACAAGCTAGTCGATATAAAGTATATTCCGATAAAGGACTAACTCGCGGACTTCCTTACTAAACCCCTAACGAAAGGGAAATTCGAAGGAAACGTAAAAAGAGTTATACTAAGTAAGGTATTAGCTAAAGTCGATTACTTAGCGTATTCGTAAGGGCTATAAAAGGATAAGCTATACTAGAGAAAAGCTTAGCGTTTTTAGTATATAGCTTTTATTACCGCGCGTATCTAAAACTCCGATTAGCTTAGCTTTAATTCTTATCGACTATTATATTATATTAATAGAGGAAAGGTTTGTCTTAAAGGAGAGACTACCTAAATTTGTACTTTTACTTAGCAATTGCCGAAGTGGAAGTTTTGAAATTTCGTATATACGCAAGCGATAAAGAGAGCATACCCCACGCCCCTCGTATCCGAGTTCGGACTCGTACTCGCACTCCTTGCACTTTGGCACAATCTTGAAAGTCAGACTCGGTGAGCAATGCCGCGCATTATCTTCGACACACCCATTGCCGCCTACCGCCCACCGGACTTCTCTCCCTCCCTACACACCCACATCCCCGTCTTCTGTAATCCATCCCCCGCACATGGCTGCTCTGGTCGCTGGCCGCAGCACTCGATCCACCTCGCACGCCTCCGACAGCTGAATCCAGCCCAAAGCAGCCACCACGCCCGTATGGCACGTCGCGTCCGAAGTTCCCTCTAGTACACCATTCAACTGCTTCGCCAGAGCAATACTGGCGCTGGAGCCACCCCGCCACGCCAAGCGACCCGCCGCCGCAGCGTCATCGAGCGCCATCAAGAGCATGCTGAAATCTTGAAGGTCTGTTGGCGAGCAATTGGTCTCGAGGACGCGGCGCGCTTCGCTGAGGCTGGATGTTGCGTTGGGGATGCGCGTGGTGTCTGTGTCCCAGCTAAGATGGAAGAGATAGTCGTCCAACGGTGCACTTGGAGGCGGCGGCGGCGGTGGAAGAGGGATAAGAGGAGGTCGCTCGCAGGTTCGCTCACGAACGAGCTGAACCTTGCTTGGCGTGCTGCGTTCAAGGCCCGTCGGAGGCCATTGGGACACGAGCAAGCAGATCAGGTACGCCAACCGCAATGCCGATAGCAGTGACACCCGTGACAGCCACTGTCTTGCACCAACCAGCGCTTGCCATGCGAAGTGTCGGTAGAGGTGGAAAAGGTAATGGAGATGAGTAGTCGGCTGCGAGTCTTCCTCGACCGGCATATCACCGCTGGCGAAATCTGATGATGTGTGCGCGAGTGTCATCATACCTCCAGCGGAGCCGGCTTTCAAGGCACTGTCCTTCGCATTGGCGAACTCGAGTCCCTGCAGCGATGTGCCTTCATTCTGGCGCTGGTCGCCAGACTTGATCAGCGTCAGACAATCGCCAGAACAGTCTTTCGAATCGAGACTCCAGCGCCTTGAAAGTGTCAATTCCTTCCGCGACGTGGTATCATCATCATCATGAAACTGACTATCCGACTTGGTCCGAACTAGTCGACCGCCACAGAAGCCATTCCAATCGAATCTGTTGCGAGTTGGAAGTGATTCCTGCGCCTGACTATCAGACCTGGTTCGAACTGGTCGCTCGCCAGATGAGTTATGCCAATCCGAAGCCTTGCGAGTTGGCTGTGTGAATTCCTGCTGCAACGTGTCTTCCTTCTTCTGGTCATGACTCTGGGACCTGGTCCGAACTGGTCGGCCGCCGGAAAAGTCATTCCAATCGAGTCTCTGGTGAGTTGGAGGTGCGGATTCCTGGCTCTGACTATCAGACCTGGTTCGAACTGGTCGCTCGCCAGAAGAGTCGTGCCAATCCTCCGAAGCCTTGCGAGTTGGCTGTGTGAATTCTTGCTGCAACGTGTCTTCCTCCTTCTGGTCACCAAACTTGGTCTGACCTGGCGGACCGCCAGAAGAGTCACGCCTGGCATAATCGAACCTCTTGCGGGCATGTGTGAGTTCCTGTGGCGATGTGTTTTGCTTTTGGTCATGATCAGCAGACTTGGTCCGAACTGGTCGGCCGCCAGAAAAGCCACCCCAATCGAATCCCTTGCGTGTTGAAGCTGAACCTTCCTGCAGCCATGTATCTTGATCGCCTGCCTGACTACCAGAATCACTCCGCGTTGGCCGGTCACCAGAAGAGTCATTCGAATCGAAGCTCTTGCGACTTTCAGGTGTAAATTCCTGCAGCGCCGTTCCTTCATTCTCCGCCTGACCATCAGACTTAGTCTCAACTGGGCGATCGCCATCGCCAGTAGAGTCATCCAAACCGTATGATGACTCCATGTCGACGAACTTGTTCTTGGGAAGTGTTGAATTGCTAACAGGATTTTCAGAACCAAGGTTGCTCAGTCCTTAAATGCTGCGTTCGTTGTTCATCGCCGGACGATCGGATTGCCCGACTATGGCTTTTTTGATCGATGCGCGGTCGGGATGCGGATACGGGCAGACATGCACATGCACACAACCGCGGGCCAAGGCTCCACCGCGAAGCAGTCAGCACTTCCGCTGACATTTCCACACGATTTGTTCCCTAGTAATACTTTCTCAGAGGCATTGCAAAGATGCTACGTGTGCTTGTTCTTACGCAGTCGACTGACTTATGAAGTTCACGCTGAAGGCGAGTACTTCCTCCTTGCGTCAAAGGTCACACTTCTTGGTCATCGTTCATCGCAGATGAGGAATACCGGAGAGTGCATGGTACTTCCTTGCGGTGACTGTCAACGCTGCATGACGTTCGTGACTCCATCAACATCCATGCCAACTATCGGGAAGCTGCTTCAAGAAGTCCATGCCGAAGGCGAGCACTTCCTCCTTGTACCCAAGCCACGCCAAAGGTCCCATTTCTTGGGCATCTTTGAGAAACACCGAGGGGTCTATAGAACTTCCGTCGACGCTGCCTGACATCGTAAACTCCATCACCATTCATGCCAACTATCCAGAAGCTGCTTCAAGAAGTCTAAGCTGAAGACCAGTACTTCCCTTTTCCCGCCCAAGCAACGTCAAAGGTCAGATTCATTGGCCATCGTTCATCGCAGACGAGAAACACCGGAGGCTGCCGTGCATATGACTTCCGTCAACGCTGTATGGTATCGTGAACTCCATCAACGCGCGTGCTAGCCATCGAGAAGCTGCTTCAAGAAGTCCAAGCTAGAGGCGCCTGATTCCTCCTCCCGTCCCGCCAACGTCAAAGGTCACACTTGCCGTCTGTCGTTTACCGGAGAAGGCACAGAACTTCCGCACTACTACTGTGTTAGTGCGGAAACTCGCCGATCGACACCGTAAGCTCTATCAACATTCATGCCGGCTATTGAGAGGCTGCTTCGATAAGTCTACGCCGAAGGCGAGAGCTTCCTTTCCTCCTTCCGCATTAGCAATATCAAAGGTCAGATCTCTTGGCTTTTATTAATGGCAGATAACAAACACCGGAGAGTGCCCGTACGAGGTACGGAAACTCGCCGATCGACGCTATATAACCTCGTGAACTCTATTAGCATTCGTGTTACCTAGCAAGAAGCTGCTCTAAGACTCTTGTCTTTAGTCTCCCTACTCTACACTTATATAGCAAATAGCATATAATGAACTCTATCAACATTATAAACTCTATTAACCGTTATAAATCCTATTAACATTATGAACTCTATAAATGTTATAAACTCTATTAGCAATTATGCTACCTATCGAAAAGCTACTCTAACACTCTACCTAAGCCTCTCCTCTTCTCCTTATTCTGCCTCCTCTAGACTTATATAGCGCCTAATACTTATTGTATACTATAGACTGCATTAGCAACTATACTAACTGTCGACAGTTTTCTCTTTACTCCGCTACCCCTAGTTATAGTACCTAAGCCCTATTTTATAGTATTATAAACTCCCCTACTATTATTCAATTTATAGTATTATAAACTCTACTACTATTTATGCTAACTATTAAGACTCTTCCCTTTATTCTACCTCCTCCGCGCTCGATTTCTACTATAGCACCCTATTCTCTTTATCCTAAACCGGTTACTCTCCTATTGTATAATATCCTAAACTCGATTACCCTTTACTCTTACTATTAATACTCTCCCTAAACCTCTTCGCTCTTCTTTATCTCCTATGTTCCTACCTCCCCGTCCTATACCGGCCAATCTCCTATTCTATCCTAACTCTTAGACTCTATTACTATCTATCCTACCTATTAGGCCTCTTCCCTCCTCTCCTTATCTTATACATTCCCTCCTCTTTATCCCTACCTCGACTCCTCCCTCCTATTCATCCTAAAGGCTAACTCCTAGACTCTATTACGCTCTATTACTATCTATCCCACCTATCACTATCTATCCCACCTATTACTATCTGTCCCACCTATTACTATCTATCCCACCTATTACTATCTATCCCACCTATTACCATCCATCCCACCTATTACTATCTATCCCACCTATCACTATCTATCCCACCTATCACTATCTATCCCACCTATTACTATCCATCCTACCCATCATCATCCAACCTACCTATTACTATCTATCCTACACATCACTATCCATCCTACCTATTACTATCCATCCCTCCTACTCTACCTCTACCCAACCCTCTTCTCCTCATCTCACGAACCCCCTCTCATCATCCCCACCTCAACACTCCCCTCTCCTCATCCCAAACCGGCCAATCCCCCATCTCAACCCTCCCCTCTGCCTTAGCCACCCGAACCACCGGCTCGACTCTCGCTTCTTGTGACATCCGCGCCGACCACAAATATCCGCATCCGTAACCCAGTAGAAGGAATGTGAATGCGAAGGTGAAGATGAGGATGGGGAGCATCGTGGGGTTGGGGTTTCGAGATGATGAGTTTGTTTGGGGAGGGGGAGGTTGGTATTGGGGATTTTTGGGAGGGGGAGGAGGGGATGGGGGTTGAGGTTGAGAAGATGGGGGTGGTTGTTGAGTTTCGGGAGGAGATGAGTTGGCTGCAAAGGGTGGATGGGGTGGGGTTTGAACTTTAATGGGTTTCTTTTGTTGAGACTTCTTCGGTGAATTTGGAGTTGTTGGTGGAGTCGAGTGTTGATTCTCAGGAGCGGAGGTTGCGGATGGCTGATTTGAGGTTTGAAGTTTGATGGACTTCTTTTGTACAGACTGCTTCGTGGAATTTTGGGTTGTTGGAGTTGATTGTTGATTTTCAGGAGCAAAGTCTGTGGATGGCTGGGTTTGATGTTGAGTGGATTTGTTTTGTCGAGACTTCTTCTTTGCCGGCATGGAAATGGTATGATTCTCGCCTGTCCGAGTTGAGCGGCCGCGGGTGGTTACTGGCATTTGATTTGAGTGAGGATGAGATAGGAGCTTCAGGCTGCTGTATGCGAAGGTTGTAGCGGTGTGTGTGTGTTCTTTCTTTATGTTTGAAAGAGAGAGAAGACGTCGCGCGGAGACTGGATTGTGAAACTCACGAATCAGTCAGACACGCAAAGGAGAGCCTTGGCCAAATTCCCTTGGTTTTGATAGACATGCATGCTGCGGAACCAATGTCCGAGGGAAGCAGTTCCAGACACGAACATCTTCCGTCCTGCTTTGACGCACCTGGGACAGCCCAGTTCCCGTATGCAGATGTCAGACATGCCGTGCGTGAAGCTAAGCCACCTCACGATACCAGAGTACACTTCATGCAGAGTGTTGAGATCTGCGGGCGCTTGCACCGAAGTCTCACGCCAGAACTTGAATGCCGTTGATGGCCTGCATTTGGATAGGTTGCGTCTGAGATCTTTCAGCTCTAGTTTCTGAGTGGCGACGCTCGCTGAGCGCCTCAATTCTCGCTGGCGGAATAGAAGATGTGGGACATTTCGAAACACTACCGTCGAGCGGAAGTCTGACTCAATTGAAATTAGAGCAAGACATGCAGCTCCGAACTGCGATGCTCTGGAACCTCGTCGGAGGACAGTGGTCTCAATGTCTCAGATTCACCTTTATCCAGCTGAGTGAGAATGAGACAATTGCTCTCTCAAACAAGCCCTTGCGGATCCGAAAGTCCTCTCCAAACATGGCAATCTGTTTCCCGGAAGTTCATGCCTTTTCATCCAAGAACAAAAGCCACCTTGCCTCGCATCCATCCGTGTTCAATCGCTCTCTCAGCATCTCCCGAATTTCCTTGCTCTTTCTTTCGCTCCACCGCAATGTCCGTCTCCGCATCCGCGCCTCCAATCCCCAAACCAGAAACCCATCCTCTCGCGTACAAACACCACCAAATCCGATCTCAATTTTTCTCATCCCAGAAAAGTCGCATTACGAAAACGACAGGATCAACATCAACACCAACATCTTCAAAGACGGTGCTCTCCGATCTCGAAGATCTGCTAGAAAAATGTCGACAAACCAGAGGAGCGAAAAGCAAAGAGAACTTGGAGTTGGAGATGGAATACATTAGACGCTCGATTCTCGCAATGCATGCAATGGAGATGCTTTTCACATCGCTTTTCGACTCGAAGCAAGACGAGGTGCTAGCAGCGCTGTTTGTTTGTCCACGGAATGAGGTGAAGATGATGTTTGTGGAGGATCTTTTCAATTTGATGCAGAATCGTTTGGTGCCTGAGAAGCTGCGGGTAAGCGAGATTACTTTGGATACAGTTGATGAGATTGTTCGGGAGTGGATGAGGGATTGGGAGGTAGGGGTTGAGTTTGTGGAGCTTTTTCCGGAGAGGGAGGAGAAGAGGGAAGGCGAGGGGGATGGTCAGGAGCGGGAGAGGAGGGGAGGTACCAGTCGAGAGCGTGACAGGAGGAAAGGTGATGATCGAGAGCGTAGAGAGATGGCGGGCGCAGATGAAACAGCAGAGGATGATGGAGATGTCGAGGCATGGAGCAACATGACGATAATGGAATGTATCATCGCGGGATTGATCCAACTCAGTCCGATTAGTCTTGTATGTTAGGAAGAGAATGTAAGAACCTGGCGGATCTTTTCATCAAGCGCGCGAGAGGAGTGGGGCTGATGACCAAGAGCGCGGAGGCGCGGACAGAACAGTAGAGGAGGATGGAGATGTCGAGGACTGATGATGATGGGATGGGTTATCTCAGGCTTGATACAGCTCAGTCCGATTAACCTTGTGTGCCAGGAAGAGGATGTATGGACAGGGCTGAGGTTTGGGGTAGCGCAGCACAATCATATGTCCAAGGTCCGCTACGACTTCATGCGTTCGCGCCTCAATTTTGATGCTGCTCGGCTGATCATGAGCGAGACGAGGAACTGTGGACAACCTTCAATGCTGAGCAAGCTCTTGTCGCTGGTACCAAGTCTCTCGAAGCGGCATGGTATGGTCAAGTTCCAATCGCGCAGATGATCGGGCCGCAGTTCGCCGTAACAGCAGGAGATGCGCTGCTGGCTGGTGAGGGAGGAATGCCGGAGACATTGGTAATGATATCGCTCTCTGTGCTGCTGCGCTTGAGGCGCAGCCAGGTTGTCTTCCTTCTCGGCCTTCTCCTGTCCCACGACGCCGCAGACGACGCATCGGTAGCAATTGTCTGCTGAGGCGTGGCCACATTGTCGCTCGTCTCGGCGTTCTCCTGTCTTGCGGCACTCCAGACGCCTTACCGGTAGCGACTGTCCATTCCACGCCTGATGCCTGGCCAGATTGTCTTCCTTCTCAGCGCTCTCCCGTCCCACGGCACTCCACACGCATCATCGGTAACCATTGTCTGCTCCACGGCCGTCTCCGTGTCCACCGTGTCCACCGTGTCATCGCGCTCCTTGCCGAACAAGCGACCTTGGGCATCCGTGAGGTATCCACTCCACTGCTGATCTGTTGCTTTTCCCACTGCGGTCCTCGCCGCCTTGTTGTCAAGTAAGCCCTCTTTCGCATTCGCGAGGTCTGCACTCCGCCGCTGTTCTGCGATCCCAACACCCATCACGTCAAGGTTTGGTGCACTCGTGAACTCGCCGTTGCTCGTAAGTCTCTCAACAGCAATGGTGATCGCCGGCAGTTCGACTCATGTTCGACGCGTGCGCAACGAAGACAACCTGTCTACTTTGCTGTGCTTGCGCGTGCCTGCGAACATGCCAGATCACAGCCTCCAGCCTCCTCCTCGGTTCCTCGCTATCGAGCGCTGTCTGACTCGGCGATTGGGATTGCTTTGCCTTGCGGCGGAGAACAGCCTTGGACATTTTGGGGCTCGATTGGACGAATGAATAATCGTATCGACATGATGTGTGTGAATTGCGGCTGGTGTGAGGACGGCGATGGCAACGGCAACGGGAATGCGGAATTCGTGTTTGTAGAAAAACCAAGCCAGAATGGTGAGTTGAGGTTTGTGTAGAATTCGGAGCGGCATTCCGCCAAACAGCTTGCTTGAGAAGCCCGCCGCCTCCACACAATCCCTCGAAGCTGGCTGCCTCAGGCACTGCTCCTCACCCGCGCAACTCATCGAGAATATGCGGCAGGACTATCGTTCACCCCCACCCACCCTCTGCGTAGTCGTCCATGCTCGAAAACATTGTTGCCAGACTCAGACTCAAAGTACGCTTGCTCTTCTCTCCACGTCTTAACATCCCGGCTTGAATAACGTGCAGCCTCCAGCACTCGGTCAATCAATGGTCAACTCCGAGGCCTCTATACAGCTCGTCACTGCACTGCCAACACCGCAAAATACACATTCGACTGCGCGACTTCGATGTCTCATGGCCGCCGCACCGCAGGTCGATATGGACGACGACGAGGTCACGAATGAGGCCCCACTTCCTCGACACGATCCACGCCCAGCTGCAGCTCAGCGAGGAAAGCTCACATAGACGACATAGGCCTCCGAGACATCTCGCTTCAGCCTGCGCTGAAAGATACTCGATTCTGCCTCTGCGAAATGCGGGACTCTGCGGCACTCGGATCTTTATCCTCTTTCCCACACTTCACGTTTCCGCTACATTGACGGCTCCTCGACCTTCTCGAAATCAATGCCACAATTGAATAAGTGAGGACATCATTGTCATTCGGGAGGAATGGTCTTGGTCGGACTACGCCACAAATATGCCACTACACGTGGAGTGATGTATAGAGTGAGCTCGAGCTCGAATCTCTTCGACAGGGCAGGAGGACCGAGACTGGGCTTGATCACAAACACCAAGGCTGCTCGCATCATCGCGATCACCGCCGTAGATGGCAAAATTTTCTTCACAATCGCCGATTTGCTCCCGATAGCCACGAGTTTTCCTTCAAACTCATCCTGAGACCTGGCTGCCAAAGGATGAAGAGGTTGACACGAGCGCTCTACTGAAACGATGACAAAGACGTCTACACTTGACTGGTTGCTGTACACAGCCGCGAGCGAAGGATGAAGGGATCAGGCAGTTTTCCCAGGGCATCTGGTGGAGCTTTCCCGACACAGTTCGTAATGGCAGTACAACGTAATGAGTTCGTCGGGCAGGAGGTCCTCCATACACACTGCACACTCGATGGTCATTGGCTTTGAGGTCAGAGGCGAGGATGTTGGCGCGCTGAAGATGTATCAGCTTGCTCAGCCGCATTTCCCGGGCAACCAGAAGCTGATACGCAATATCGCTGTCTTGCAGGACAAGGTTGATGCGAAGCATGCCGAGAGGCACGCCGAGAGGCACGCTTCTGCCGCGACATACTTTGAGGAACCTGTAGCAGACTGCCGCCCAACTCACCATCGCCAGCACGACGAAAGCCGAAAGCGAATGAAGAGGACGAAAGCCACCACGAAGCCCAAGATGTGGATGCGTACGACCCAAGCCGAGACGCACGCGTCTGCCGCGACATACTTTGAGGGACCTGTAGGAGATTCCGCCCAACTCATCGATCGAGCACGCGAAAGCCGAAAGGGAACGAGGATGACGAAGGCCACCACGAAGCCGAGGGTGAGGATGCGTACGATGAAGACGACGAATTCGCCTGTCGACGAAAGCCGAAAGCGGACTAGGAAGACGAAAGCTGTCACGATGCCCAAGATGAGGATGACAAAAGCTATCACGGCGCCCAGAGTAGGGATGCATACGAAAGCGCACGTGGAGGACAAAGCTATCACGAAGCCCAAGATGAGCATGCGTTCGAATGCGGGCGACGAAGGTCCAAGATAAGGATGCGGACGAGGCGTACGAAAAAGATAACCCGAAGCCCGAGATCAGGATGCGTACAGAAACCCGTCACAAAGCCCAGGATGAAGGTGCACAAGAGAGCGGACGAGAATGACCAACGCTATCACGAAGCCTAAAATGAGATGGGCACGAAATCGCACGAGGAGGGCAAAAGCTATTACCAAGCCCAAGATGAGTTGCGTACGAAAGCGGACAAGGAGGACAAAAGCTATCACGAAGCCCAAGATGAAGGTGCGCACGATGAAGGTGCGCACGATGAAGATGCGCACGATGAAGACGAAGGATTCGCGATGATGACGAAAGCTTATGGAGCCCAAGATGAGGATGCGTACGAGAAAGACGGAGGATTCACGATGATAACGAAAGCTCATGGAGCCCAAGATGAGGATGCATACGATGAAGACGAAGGATTCATAATAATGACGAAAGCTCATTAAGCCCAAGATGAGGATGCATACGATGAAGACGAAGGATTCGCGAGGATGACGAAAGCTCACGATAACGGAAGTGAAGCCCGAGATGAGGATGCGTACGATGCAGACGATGGATTTGTGAGTCGGCCACGCTGGCGCAGGTCCTTCGATCGGCAACACGACGAAAGCCGAAAGCGGACGAGGAGGGCGGAAGCTGTTACGAAGTCCAAGATGGGGAGGGCAACAGCTAACACGAAGCCCAAGATGAGGATGCGTACGATGCAGACGACGGACTCGCGCGTGGGCCACGCTGGCGCATGTTACTGGGTCGCTAGCGATGACGAAAGCCGAAAGCGGACAAGGAGGATAAGAACTATTACCAAGCCAAAGATGAGGAGGGCGAAAACGGTCACGAAGCCAAAAATGAGGATACGTACGCTGCAGACGACGGATTCGCGTGTCGGACAGCTGGCGCAGGCTCCTTGACACCACCGCATGGTCCTCGACTGCTCGTATCCTGCCATGGGCGCCGACTTTGAGTACCGGTATTGCGAGGGGCAGGCATATCTCGCCAGCGCTGCATTCTCCTTTGGCAGGCGTCGGATAGAAGGGCTCAAAGCCACCTTTTGCATCTGAGCAATGCGACCTCGCAGATCTGCGCCCCCTGCAGCGGTAGAGCTGTGATGCCGCAATTTCAGGCAGAACTCTCGACAATTCGCACCAAATCTCTGGTAACTGGCGCAATACGCTCTCGCTCTCAGTTGAGGAGCCTGTAAACTTTCAAAAACACGCGCATAGCATCCCTCATGGGGGTGATAGCAGACATCACTGGGGACCGACTTCTGGGCCAAAATGAAATACGCAAGATGCATGGCTGCAAGGTGCAAAGCGGGTCGGAGCTCGAGCAAGAGCTAAACGTGGTCCACGCAAATGGACTCTGCCGTTCTCTATATTGCCAGACTGATATCCCTAACCACACGACTCACCCTAAAAGCAGGAGACCTTCTCAAAGATCATCGCGATTCTTGAAGACACACTGCCCATGCGATGATCATGATATCGGCGGAGACGACTCGAGATTGGCCCAGATGCGACTGGAAGCTCAACAACTTCATAGAAAGCCTCATTGGTAGGATGACAGGGCTTGGAATGAAACCTTCTGAGCAGCGCATCAAGATTGGGGAGTTGTCGGTGACCACCAGAGCACGAAATGCCGCTCGCGAAGATGAAGCCCCTTGGCTGAATGAGTTTTTAAGGCCTGGAATCAGGGAGGGTGGATGCCGAGTTGTACTTATTCCCATTCCACAGTATCATTCCTGCCTACAAGGCAGCAACATCCAATATCTCTACTCGGACGCAAACTATAAGAAAGATCTACTGCAATCTTAGCTATAGTTAAGCAGCTTTTTAAGGCCTCCGATATTATACCTTTCCTTTACTATATTGCGAGCTTAATAGCGACAATTTATTAGTATATTAACAAGCCTATAGTTAAGGCCTTCGTTATTACACTTTTCTTATACCGTATTGCGAGATAAATAGCGGTAATTAGCGTACGAAAAGCGGGCAAAACAATAATAGGCTAGACAGTAAAGCGGTTAATTAACAATCCTTATACTAGTATACCCTAGCTTAGGGAGATACTATTATCCTCCCTTAGAAAATTAGAGGTCTACGTCTAAGAGCTATAGCGCGCAATATCTAGATCTACTATATATATATTATAGATAAGCGGTAAACCGATAGAATTGCTTACTACTTAAACAAAAGACTTACTAGCTACTTATATACCCTAGGGCTAAGAATTACAAGCTATTACTAGGCCGTAAGTAAATAATCTTTTAACTTCCTTCTCCCTCTCTTAACTATAAATCTAACTAGCCTCGTATAATCTCGAGTATTCTAATACTCCCTCTACTTAGCTATCTAGCTATAAATTAAATAGCTATATCCTAATCCTTCTTAATCGTTTTTATCCCTAGGATTCTTTTTACGTCTTCTTCGAACTTCCCTTTCGTTAGGGGCTTAGTAAGGAAGTCCGCGAGTTAGTCCTTTATTAGAATATACTTTATATCGACTAGCTTATCTTTAACTAGTTCCCGTACGTAATATACCGCTACGTTAATATATTTCGTTCTAGAATAAAATTCCGGATTTCGTACTAAAGCGATAGCCGCCTTATTATTCCCGTAGATAATCGTAGGTTCTTTATAGTCGTCTTCCGTAAGGTATACGACCTGCTCGAGGAAATTTCGGATCTAAATAGCTTCTTTTACGGCGTAGGATAGCGCTAAGTATTCGGCTTCCGTAGTACTAGTCGTTATAGACCTTTATAGTTTAGTAGACTAAGATATAGGTCCTCCGGCTAGTAGGGATATATATCCTATCGTTAACTTCCTAGTTAAGTCCGCCGCGTAGTCCGAATCGGTATAGATAACTAGTAGACGTGTAAGTAAAGTACTCGTATCGTTTTCGTTCTTCGGGATAGGACTATACTTTCTATAGTAGTCCCGAGTATTTCCTAGGTATCTAAGGCCGTAGATACCTCCGCCTTAATATCTCTTAGCCGGATTTACCGTAGATTAGCTTAGTCTTTATATTAGAAAAGATATATCCGGCCTAGTAGCTCGTACGGTCTAATTTAGTCTTCCGATAAGTCGTTAGTATTTTCGGACGTCTACTACGTCTTCGTCCTTTATAATAGATAGTAGATTCGTATATCCGTTTACTAGAGTCGATACTCGGAAGGTTTCGTCTAGATCTAAGCCCTCTTCTCTAAGCGTATTTTCGATATAGTGCCTTTAATCTAGTAGTATAGACCCGTCGGCCTCTATCTCGCTTCGTACGCCTAGTATAAACTTAGCGGGACCTAGATTATTTATTTTAAACCTCTATATAAGCCCGTCCTTTAGCGGTTTAATCTCTACTTCTATCTTTGCTAGTATAATAAGATCGTCGACGTATAACGCGACTATTAGCGTATAGTCGCTATTAATAAAGACCGATTAATCCGTAGGTATAGCGTATAGGTCGTATTCTTTAAAGAAAGCCGTTGTTAGCGCCGTTTCGTTAGGCTACCGCTTTACTTAAATAGCGCCTATTTAATAAGATTTTATTTGGAATTTAACTAAATAAGCGCTTCCTTAGTATTTTACTAAAACAGCCCTCTTTAAATTCGCCCTCCTATAAGCTTAGTATACTTAGTATACTACTATACGCTTACTATCATATCCGGAGATAACAATTAACTTATTTCCTAGTAAAGAATAGGTATAGAAAGCGGTATACGGGTTTTCTTACTATAAATGTATAAGTAGGAGGTATATATCTAAATTCGAAAGAGGATAATAACTATAAGTTAGAGACTTCCGTAGCCGATAGTATATCTTATGGATAATAGAATAGTTTAGAAGAGGACGATTAGACTAATATTACTAGTAGAAACAGCCCTAAACCCTCCGTTTAAACGCTACGGTCCTCCTAATATTACTATCTTCGATCTCCGCTACCTCTATAGGCTCCGCCGTACCTCTAACGGCCTATTAAGTACTACGCAATAAGGCTCTCGTATTATGTCGCTTCTATACGCTAATAGGCACCTTATAACCCTTTAATTAACGCTTGTTATCGGTCTTATTAGCAAGCCGTATCTTCTTAGTTAGCTTCGGTTATCGCTACGGACGGTTATTAACTTAAGAAGGGGTTATCGACCCGTTACCGCTAAGTAGAATAGCGTTACTAGAAGGCTCTATAGCAGCAGTAGAAGAAGCTAACGGTTAAGAAGTTGTTAGCGCCTTACTAGCTCTCGGCGTAGGGTCGTTATCGCTCTATGCCTATAGCTCTATACTACTATCGCTTCCGAGGTCGATAACTTAAGTACTAACGACGTTATTGTCGCCGTTAATATTTCTAGAATTAAGGAGGTTATCGTTAATACTATCTCCGGCAATAGACTCGTTAGTAGCGTATCCGTAGTCTTCTATCTTCTCGTAGGTATTGCCTTATCCGTAGTAAGCGATTAAGTATAGTTTGCCTACCTTGTAATAGCTATAAAGTATAGAGCGATAACGGCTCTTAATATAACGGCAGGCTCTATATAAAGTTAATAGTATACAAGCCTACAATTAGCGGCTTTAGAGAGTATTATCTCCTTGTTCTTATAGCTAGCATAGACCGAGAAGTTAGTAAAGAAGAAGCAGTCGCCTTTAACGAGGTATCGAGTATACTAGTAGTATTTAATTAGGCCCTAAGGAGATAGCAATTTAAACAGTAGTTTAGTAACTGTATTGTCGTCTTTAAACTACTCTATAACCTAGCATATAATAAGCCTTAGACTATTAGGCACTTTGTACTATTTAGGGATCTATAAGCCGATAATATCGCTAATCTCGAAGGTCCGTAGATTCTTATACTTACGTACCTTATCGGCTCTTAAATTAGCGGCTTCTTAAGCGGCTACTATATAATCTATAAGTATATTCTAATTATAGTCTATAGCGGAAGATATGCTAGCGCTAGAGGTATAGATCGTACGT